ACTGAACGAAGAAAAATGTAGAAACAAAACCGTAATCTTCAGCACGTAGCTTAACTAAACTTCTTAACTTCCAAACACAAGTACACATGTGGCAACGCCTCCAAAAACTAACTAATACAAAATTTTACTAAGCTGCTCGAAATGCTAGAATTCTCGTAAAGTACACACTGTTAGCCATTAGCAAAACAAGATCTCAGGTAATCCAATTCTCATAAAGATCATTCAAAACCTCACTACACATTAACAAGAGCAGCACAAGTTTAACTGATAAATCAGGATAAACAGGGAGAAAACTAGAAAATAGCACTCGCAAACAAATCAAGCGGATCAATCAAACAAACAGTCCGGCCGACACAAGTGAGAAGATTGGCAGGCCAAGCGCTCCTCCAGAACAGCGCAAGCTCACCGGTTTTATACTGCACGGACCCGATCCTTATTGGCGCGCCGATTTAGTGACGAAGGTGAATGACAGCTCACCCGACCAATGGTAGCACACCTGAAACAGGATAGGACCACAACAAGAGAGAGAAAGAGAGAGAGAAGAGCGCAGAGCAGAAAACAACAAAAATACTACAAAACATACGTAAAACGTAACAATATGTAATTTACAAAATATGCTTAATAATGATCATTTAGGATAACTTTAAGAGACTTTGAATTGTATCACACATAATTGACATAATATTACCAGACTGGGCGAAGCAGTGGCGCAGTAGGTAGTGCTGTTGCCTCACAGCTGCTGGGTCACTGGTTCGAGCCTCGGCTGGGTCAGTTGGCATTTCTGTGTGGAGTTTGCATTTTCTCCCTGATTTTGCATGGGTTTCCTCCGGGTGCTCCGGTTTCCCCCACAGTCCAAAGACATGTGGTACAGGTGAATTGGGTAAGCTAAATTGTCTGTAATGTATGAGTGTGTGTGTGGATGTTTCCCAGGGATGGGTTGCGGCTGGAAGGGCATCCGCTGCGTAAAAAAAATGAATGAATAAATATTATCAGACATTTGAGTTTAAGTTGAATAAAAATACGAATGTATTTATACTTTTATTTGATTAAATCATTTTGGACTAACTCAATTGCATTTAAATTTTAACCTTATTGGTTGAACCTAGGATCCAGGAGGAACAAATTGTTTTTTGTCCAGGCCATGGTACACTGGACCAGCTCTATACCCTCACTAGGGTGCTTGATGGTTCATGGGAGTATGCCCAACCAGTCCACATGTGTTTTGTGGACCTGGAGAAGGCATTCGACTGTGACACACGTGGCATTCTGAGGAGGGTGCTGTGGGAGTATGGGGTCAGAGGTGCTCTGTTAAATGCTGTCTCATCCCTGTATGAACAGAGTAGGAGTCTGGTTCACATTGCCGGCAATAAGTAAGACTTGTTTCCAGTGCAAGTAGGACTCCGGCAGGCCTGCCTTTTGTCACCAATTCTGTTCATAATTCTTATGGACAGAATTTTAAGGCACCGCCTTGGGCTGGAGGGGGTCCGGTTCGGGGACCACAGGATTTGATCTCTGTTTTTTGCAGACGTTGTTGTTCTGTTGGCTTCATGGAACATGGACCTTCAGCATGCACTGGGGCGGTTTGCTGCCAAGTGTGACGCGGCTGGGATGAGAATCACCACCTCTAAGTTCGAGGCCTTGGTGCTCCACCAGAAAAAGGTGGTTTGCCAGCTTTAGGTTGGAGAAAAGTCCCTAACCCAGATGTAGGGGTTCAATTCTTTTGAGGTTTTGTTCATGAGTGAGGGAAGGATGAAATGTGAGATTGACAGGCGGATTGGTGCAGCAGCAGCAGTTAATGCGGTCGATGTACCCGTTGTGGTAAAGAAGGAACTGAGGCAAAGGCAAAACTTTCGACTTATCAGTCAATCTACATTCCTACTCTCACCTATGGCCATGAGCTTTGGGTCATGACTTATGACCAAACGGACAAGATCATGAATACAAGCGGCTGAAATTAGTTTCCTTTGCAGAGTTGCAGGGTGCACCCTTATGGATAGGGGGAAGAGCTCTGTCACCTGGGAGAAGCTCGGAGTAGAGCCACTGCTCCTCCACATCAAAAGAAATCAGCTGAGGTGGCTCGGGCATCTGTTTCGGATGCCTCCTGGACGCCTACCTAGGGAGGTGTTTCAGGCATTTTCACCGGGAGGAGGTCTCGAAGAAGACCCAGGACACGCTGGAGGGACTATGTCTCTCGGCAGGCCTGAACGCCTCAGAATCCCCCCGGAGGAGCTGGATGAAGTGTCTGGGGTTCTCTCCCAAGACTGCTACCCCCGGGACCCGACCCCGGAAAAGCAGTAGAAAATGAATTAATGAATGAATGAGATAGACCCTTTTCACATGACATCATGCAGTGCCCGGTTTCACTCAACACAGTGTATTATTACTTCCGCCTACACAGAACTCCCCATCGAGAATTCACCCAGTCAGCTGTATATTTACTGCAGAGACGGTTAGACTGTGACTATAGCTGTTTTCTGTTGTCTGCATTCAAGGTGAGACATCTGACACCTAAATAAAAACTTACAGATCAGCCAGATTTCCGTTTGAACCAAGAAAAGGAGATTTAAAATGAAGTGTATTGCTTTGTGTTGCTGTCTTTATTCCAGATGAAGGTGGTATGCACTTGTCAGCATTTTTCAAATAAAGATTTCAGATGTTTCCATGGGTGCTAAACTTTTTTTAAGTCAAATTTATTTTTATTATTTTTTGTGTCCTGAAGAATAAGTATTAAAAAAACTGTTTTACTGTGGTTGTTTACAGTAAACGTCTGATTCCCAAACAGTCATATTTTTCACTTTCTACCACTCAGTTCACTGCTATTTGTTCTATATAGGTACTTAATTCATCAACATGAAACATTTAAGTCTATTTAATATTCAAATTCAATGAAATAGAATAGAAAATATTGTATGTGACTATTACTTATCAAACAAAATCATTATAAAAATTTACAGCTGCAAAAACCTCCAAAAACTTCCGAAAAAGTACAGTGAAGCCACATCACAACTTGCATACTTACCAAAATCATGTTCCTCCACTGCCGCAAGTAGTTCTCTGCCTGTTTCAAACCTTAGAGGGCTAAAGGTTATTACAATTTAACCAATCAAAAGAGCATATATTTAATATTTAACTTTTTTATTCAGAATCACACAATGCCTTTGTAATAAAACAAATTGCAAAAAAAAAAAAGTTTGCTTTAAATGCTTACAGAGGAAAAAGCTCAGTATATAACACTGATCCCAGAATCAACACAATGCTTAAATCTGAATTGCACAGTCCATATGTGTAGATTTAAGGCACAAATATAAAACATCCAGTATAAATAGAGATTTAGTTAGGGCACAGGATGTGAAGTGAGACAGAGATCTTCATTTGTAATAATCCCCTAGACATTCACTATACCAAACCAGCGATTTAAAAAAAAAAAAAAAAAAAAGGAAAAAAAGACCTAATCTCAATCCATACTGTGGTGGATGATAATCTCTCCCAGGCAAAACTCTGGAGACTGTAGCCTGGATGGGTAGTGTTCTGACTTATGATTATCAGCATGTCACGCCAATGAGTTTTTATCTAGCTCCAGGCTTACACTATACCTAAAAATAAACATCCAAAACATCTAATTTATGCAGGGTTTCAGATCCTTTAGTCCCAGATAGACAAGTTATGAGTGTTTTACAAGATTTCATGTAAACAGAATAGATTTGAATTAAAAAAGGAAAAGATTTTGAAAGAAGATTGGGAAAATGTCAGAATGTGAATGGCCAGTAGCACTCTGTGGAAGCCCATTGTTGAATTGTTGCTCTGAGGTCTTTCTCAACCCCCACATGAGAGGATGGCATTATTTCTTTCCCAAACCAAACATGCAACATGTAATAAGCAGCAGCATTAAGGCCCCAAAATACTTCAAGCAAAATTATAACGTGTGTTGTCATTTTGAACAAAATTGAGCAAAAACAAAGCTTACACCTTGCATTAAAATGTCACAGTTTAAACATTTACACTGTATTTAATTTTTTTTTTATCTTTCAATATAATATACTGTACCCCTGTCCCAAATAGTAAATTTCATATTAATGACGGCCATATGGCCTTTCATATTTGGTCTCATGGTCTTAAACTGTGTGTCTTTGCTAAGTGTATGTGTCCATATACACTCAAAAATAAAGATATGAGAGCTGTCAATGGGTTGGTACCTTTTTAAAAGGTGCACATTTTTTAATTTCCAGCTAACATTTGAGCGCTGTTAAGAACCTATAAAAAAAAGGCTCAACAAATATGAATGACTTGTTCACCAAGAACAAAGACACAAACACTGGAGTGTTTAAAATCCACATCTATCAGCTGATCTGTCTGTGAGCAAGATATATAAGAGATCAACTGATAGACAGTGTATCTGTTTTCACTAGGTGAAGATGACCTTTCCTAGTTTGAGTCATACAATTGAGTCCCTAAATTCGTACCCGGATTTATGTCCCTAAGGCTCCGTTTACACTAATACACTTTAGTGAACAACTCTGCGTCTACATTACACCGCTGAAAACCTCTACCCATATAAGAGCTGTGCACATTGGACTGTTCATCAAAGATCTACCGCTGGATCTAATCACACTATATTTGTTAAACGTGATTTTTAATTCATCTTGCTGTCTATATCTAATGACATTTTCCCAGACTTTGGTCTTTTGAATCTATTACTTGTTCTCAGGTAACGTGTGTTGGCTGGGCGCTAAGATAAGTTAGGTTAATATATAAATTAACGTAACAGCGGACACTGATTCTGCTTGCCTTTATTTTCTATATTGTATAAACTTGTTGTACGTTATACATTTATAATGGCCATTATTGATTATTAAAACTGATATTCAGTGAAAGAGAGGGTATATTTCGTATTTTCAATAAAGATTACAGGAGGTAGTAATGTTATAGGCTCTGTTTTTTTTTTTTTTTAATATGCCTACAGTGAAGACGACACAGTTCCTTATATCATGCTTTTATTTTATTGTTAAGAAAAGTGAAACAACGTAGCCAGGGTGATGAGAATGACGTTATACAGTACTGTTCCCTTTGAAGATTTACTCGACCTGTCCTCTGCAGTTTGTTTTTCAACTTGCGAAGTCTGAACTTACAAGGAGAGGATGCAAGACTGAACTGTGTGTGGGCTGCTTAATAATGAGGAAAAAGCCCCAAACAGAAAGGCGAATATCTGCAAGTCCGCCTCCATTTTCAGATGTCTCCGTTTTCCTGGCCTCCACAGCATTTCCAAAACGCTCCGTTTTCGGCGCTCGAAAACTCCAGCGTAGTTTGGACAGATGGCGTAACTGTAGCAAAACTTATGTGTTTTTAAACAAGAATGTATTAGTGTAAACGGGGCCTAAGTGCTGCACTAATGATGTCATCAAAAGTGCAGACTATGAGGTAGTCCACAAGTCTGGAGTGTGTTATTTGGTACAGGGCCTGAGAAATGAGTATATGAGGTTGCATAATTGGACATACACAGCAGTAGCTTTTGTTTCTTTTTCATCGTAAAACTCGAAATCTGTCAATATTTTTTGCAATCTAGATTTCAGATTTAAATAAAATTTACAGTTTTAGTAAATATTTTGTAAATTGTATCTAAAAAACACATTTTAATACTAGGTTTGGGATAATAAAACAATGGTAAACTAACATCAGCAGTGATTATGTAAGATCTGGGGTGTAGTAGCAGGTCTAGTTCATTTGTATTCCCAATTTATTGTAGTCAGATGGGAATAAAAAATTAATATAATTCTAACTGAAAGCAACACTGACACTGTTTTCCCATGTTTAATACCGCAAAGCTGCCTTCTGTAAAGAATTCAATTGTATTCAAGTAGGCTACTCTATGAATAAATGTACTGAACTGCTTGTGCAAACATACCAACATTGCTATCACCAGATGCTTTATTTGCTGCAGTTTTCTCACCACCACGATTTTCATCATATGTTTATTTAGTAATTGTGATGTGCAGTGCATGTTTAAATATTCAATATTGTGTAAATGCAAGGACGAAGAAAGCATGTTCACGACCGATATGTCAATGCCAGGTGCTTTTTCTTTTTACCTCCAAGCGAACTTCGCTGTGAGTAAATCAGGGCCTTAAGCTCAAACACCTTTGTTTCAAAGCTGCTTTCAAGTTAGTCTTTTGGGAACTTTGACGATGAACTCCATTGGGTCTTTGGCCTTGTTGCTGAAAGCCCTCCGAATGGCATCCACCGCGTGCTGATGTGTGACACCTTGAAGAGACTCTCCATCTACCGACACCAGCTCGAATCCAGCCTACACACACAGACAAAACAGACATTTCTAGAAAAGTTGAGGATTTGATGATTAACACAGATGTCTGTTTTCCTGACATATGCCTGAGTATTTTTGGCAGAGCACAGACAGCCGCACGCTCTCTGAATGGCAGGAAAAAGCAGATGCTGCAGGCACAGGATGCCACTTGTTTCCTTTGTTCTCCTTCGTTAATACCTGTGAATGATCTCATCTGGCGCTGTGTGTGTGTCAGAGCTCTGCCAGTGGATGACATCAGCTTATTATACCTCAGAAATGGATGTTTTTCTCTGATTGTAACCACTGGCAGAAAAGAAGCACAGATGTTTGGGTCTCTCAGGTCAGAAACGCAAGGCATATCTATCAGATCTCGTCTAAACTCATTCTCCTATCACTCACATCGCTAACATCATAAACTAATCCAGGGAAAAGACAAATCAGAGTAAACCGGTCCGAATGTTATACAGCAGTCTCTAAATGTGCATAAAGTAAAAGTTAAATACTCACACAGATGCAAGAGCGTGTCTTTGGAATTATGTCTTTCCTGCCAGGAAAAAAGTACAAAGTGCAGCTGAGCTCACAAGCGCACGTTTAGTTCAAAGTAGGCACATTTCCTCAGTCACGATCTCTTACCAGGATGCACCTGCTTAGTGAACTTTCTACACCCATCCTTCAGCAGTCAGGGACTGTTTTCATGCTTTCCAATGGTCAAAACAAACACCTTTGTCCCTTTATTGAGACAATGTATTTCTATGTTCATGGCCAAAACACATTTGAAAAGGTAATTGAAAATGTTCAGCTAAAAGTGAAGTCCACAAGATATTTAAATTAGTCATAAAATGTGGTGTATACTTAATTCCATTAAAGATGATTCACAAAAAAATACATTTTCTGCAAGCTATATTTCTAAATGTGGGTATCTTTCGAAAAAAAAAAAAAAACATTTTAAGACTCTTAAACACCTAATAACCAAATTTATGAACACTGCAGAACAAAGCTTTTGACAATTCACAGAGCGCAACAACAGAGATTTTTGCTCATTAGTTTGTTTACATTTATACTATAGGGCTGTTGAATGCTTGATTCTGATAGGCTGATGAAAATTCTAAGGTGTGCAATTATTATCAGGGAACCGCACAGCTGACGTTCCAGGAAGGGCTCTGACCACATTCCATTTCCATCAGTGAGCTAAATGATTTCAGTTTCATTTCAATTTCTCAATTTCACAGCCTACATTTTCAATTTCACAGCCTAAATTAGCCAAAAATCAAATCAAAATAAAACAGAAGGCTTTAGATGAAATGCGTAAGAAACCAGTATTACACAGCAGGTGTTTAAGCGGAATGAGCCACCAACTTATCCAGCATATTTTTGCGCAGCAGATGCACTTCCTGCCGCAACCCATCTCTGGGAAACATCCACACAGCAACATTTTTTTCCCATTTTGGACAGGTAAAATAGTGTTTGGTACATTTCATATGCTGCAAAACAGTTGCAGGATGGCACTGTATGTCTGTAACAAAATCTAAAACATTAAAAGTATTTTAAATAAACATTCAAAGTATTTTTAAAGGAGGGCACCTTTTTCTGCTCAATCCTTGTACGCTCCCACTCTCACCTCCCTTGATGACAGAGAGGTCAGGGGATTTGAGGCGATTCCCCAGGTGGAGCGTGCTATCGCGGTCAATCTCTGTCCGTGGAGCCGCTCCACTTGTGGAGATTCGACCAAACTCTCTTCCAAGACATGCAGATTATCTGAGTTTCTCAGGGCCAGAGCCTTCACTGCTGCGGGCCAGGCCGCCTAGCAGCCAAGCTGAGAAGCTACCAAGCTGAGAAGCTGGCCGAGATGGCCACCTCTGGCTGAGCTTGGCTGATATGAATGATGTTGACAAAGCTTGCTTTCTTAACGCTCCCATATCCTAGGCTGGCCTGTTCGGCAACACCGTTGGGGAGTTCACCCAGGAATTCTCTCCGATGAAAGAGCAGTACAAGGCAAGGGGTGAAGTCATCTATCAGCAGGCTCGGAAAACTGCTCCACTTGCTGCCCCTTCTGCAGCTCCTCGCCAAGGCCATCCACCTGCGACTTCAACATGTGCTCCACTTTTGCTGCCCGCTCCACCAGCCAAGCGGCAACGCCGATCCTCCCGCGTGACTGCGACGCCACTGCCCCAGGCGCCACTAAGTCCAGTAAACGACCGCGAAGTGTCTTTGGGACGGGCCATTCGGAGAAGAGGGGACCTTCTCTTTCATCGGTGGGGGCCAAGGATTATTACATCAGTCCACAACAACTCTAAACTCATCGCTGCCGGCCTCCGGGCTTACAGCAACCAAATTTTCAAAAGAGCAGTTTCTTCTTTCTCTCTGGATGCACAAACACGAGCACTGCCAGTCTGGGATGCTCCACCTTCCAGCTCACAGCGATGGGACCCTTCGCCTCAGGCCCCCAGAGTGCAACAGAACTCCTTTCTCTCACTTCGGCCTCACCAAGGGATCCAGGGAAGGTAAGAGAAATTCTCTTATTTTCAGCTCTTCCTCGGGACGCACCACTTCCCGGGATGAGTACTCCCATCTCAAGCTACCCCTCCGCTGGCACATCAGCGATCACTATGATAGTGCCATTAGCGTGTGCTCTGCTGGCCTTGTTAGTGATGCTTAGCTCGTCGCGATGGCTCATATGGCTATGCGATTCAGTTCGCTATTCCCCCTTTCCAAGTTCACGGGTGTCCTTTTCAGGAGGGTTATCCCCGAGAGCGCCCCTGTCTTGCGAGATGAGATTGCCGTTCTCCTGGCGAAGGATGCAATCGAGCAGGTCCCTCCAGCCAAGATGGAGTCCAGGTTTTACAGCCTGTATTTCATCGTGCCTAAAAAGAGCGGGGGATTAAGACCAATCCTAGATCTGAGCAGACTGAACTGTCATTTTCACAAAATGCCTTTCAGAATGCTCACGCAGAAACGCTTGCTTCAAAACGTCCGTCCACAGGATTGGTTTGCACCCATAGACCTGAAGGATGTGTATCTTCACGTCTCTATTCTTCCACGCATGCCCCTTTTTCCGATTTGCGCTCGAAGGACGAGATCTCTGGAACCTTCACGTGTGGTTCTAGACGGTGCGCGGAAGACTTAGGTGACTTACCGCCTGCGGTACTCAACACCATCGTGCCTTGAATTCGGGTCGGGTTACTCTCACCTTGTCCTTAGACCCCGGCGGGTTATGTATCCAAGGTTCCTACCACCCCATTTAGAGATCAGGTGGTGAACCTGCAAGTGCTGCCTTCGGAGGAGGCAGGCTCAGCCCACTCACTGCTTTGTCCTGTTTGCGCCTTTACGTGGAACGAACACAAAATGTAAGATCATGTGAACCGCTCTTTATCTGTTATGGTGGTCAGCAGAAGGGAAGTGCAGTATCAAAACAGAGGTTGGCCCACTGATTAGTTGATGCCATCGCCCTCGCTTATCAATACTAGGGCGAGTCGCTCCCTCTGAACGCGAGAGCGCACTCTACTAGAGGTGTCGCTTCCTCATGGGCGTTAGCACGCCTCTCTCACAGATATCTGCAGAGCTGCGAGTTGGGTGACACCTAACACATTCGCAAGGTTCTATAACCTTCGAGTCGAGCCAGTTTCCTCCCGGTTATTGAGTAACCCTAATCAATCGGGGTGAAATTAAGCTCGGTGTCACAAACTGTTGCTGTGCCATGCTCCCTAACCAGAGATGTGTGCGCTTTTTCTACTCTACTAGTAAGTTCCCCTTCTCAGGTGAACCCTAGAGAATTCCTCCAAGGCCCCCAGCATCGAGTCGAGTGCATGGCTCAGTGTGCGGTTGATACGCCCATTTGGTCTACACGCATATTGAGGATCGGTGCTAGCAATGTGCATCCCTATTGGTGATGCCATATGCAGTATTACCACGGTGTGTTCCCCCTTATTAGGCGGTCCTGTGTCTGCCCTAAACCGCTAAATAGCTTATCATATGTAGCACTCCCCCTCATTAGGGCTAGTCCATATGTCTCTTTACCATCAAGTAGGGGTGTCAAAATTAATTGTTTCTTTGGTGCACCGCGATGCAGACGCGGACAATTTATTATTGGTTCAGTAATAATCATAACCGGTTAATATGTACTGACGTCATTTATCTCCTATGCGCTCTGTCACGAGGGAGGTGAGCGCGAGTATTTACAACACTCAGCCAACTCAGGGCCGGCCCGTGGCATAGGCACCATAGGCAAATGCTAAGGGCGCTGTATATCCAGGGGGGCACCAGAAATGAGGGCGGTTCAGTTGGTTTTGTTTTCGATATTTCTGACACACATTCAGTTATAGACGGCATTAACTCAAAAAACTCTTACCCTAAAAAGATCTAAAGTGTGTTTCCAAAAAAAAAGAGAAAGCTGGTTATGTTTCACAGCTGTCTTTCTTTTTTTTTTTTCGCTCAACATTACGAGCACTGCTAAGCCCTCGCAATATGTGTTTAGCCGGGAGAGCTCGCGCTTAGAGGAGCTCTCAGTAAGGGACCGTAAGAAAAGTGCTTCCTTTTTTTCGCTTTTTTTTTTTTGTTTTTCTGCTCTGCTCAGCTCGAGCTCTCCCTGTTGCGAGGGCTTAAGTGTGTGTGTGTGTGTGTGAGTGTGTGTATGTGTGTGTGTGTGTTTGTTGCTGTCTATGTTTGTGTATGTGTTTGAATGAGAGACAGTGTGGTGCTGTGTGTCTGTGTGTTTATACAGACAGCATGTTATAGCCTCCCCCCTAAAATATAATACTGTATGTGAAAAGCATCGTCAATGCACCGTGATGCACCCAGATATCGAATTGAACCGAATTGAAGGCATGATAATCGGAACCGAACCGAACCGAACCGTGAGACCAGTATAGGTTCACACCTCTAACATCAAGTCTCCCCTTGCGGGTAGCAGGTGGGCTCCGGTGCGTCCTCCCCCTTCGGGGACTGGCACGCTTTCCCAATGTACTGTCTTATTTAAAAAAAATCCCTAGTCTATATTAGATAGATGA